AGGCAGAAAGTGGAGTGACCCAGCCTGCTCTGCTCCCCTGGCTCCCAGCCTTGGGACTTGGGGCACAGGGGGCAACCACCCTGCAGCACTCACCAGTGGAGCAAAGAGGGTTGGGGCCGCGTCAGTCGACTTCCCGCCACCCAGTGAGTGCAGGGTGCGCTCGACCCCTGCTGCAGTCCCCCAGGACATAGCTCAGGGGAAGCGGTGGAGTGGGGGCGGAGGTTTTGGGGAAGGGATGGAGTGGGGGTGGGGCTGGGGCAGAGCAGGGGTGGAGGCTATGGGGAAGGGGTGGAGTGGGGGTGGGTCAGGGGCAGCTTTCCTGGCCGGCTCAGCCATCCGGGGGATCGGGCTGGCTGCTGGAACAGCACGCAGCTGCGTAGAGCACCAGGAAATTTGGGGCAATTTGGTGCCCCACATTTCCTGGTGCCCTATGCAGTGGAGTAGTTTGCGTATGGGTAAGTATGGCCCTGCTTCCTGCCATGCCCTGTTATGCTTGCTTCATGGGCGGCTTAATTGCAAGGAGCTAATATTTCCACCTATAGTCACTGTGTTTCAATGTTAGCACTTTAATAACGGGGTAAAACAAACTTTGGACAAAAGGAACATGAAAATGAGGAACAGTCTCACGGTTAGGGCTTTCACAGCTGGGTGCAATTCCAGTTTTCACTGGAAAATCAGTCCCTAGGCGTGGAGTGCCCGGGGTACTGTTAGGGATGAAGAACACGTGATGAAGCTGGCACGGAGTTTGGGGAGGGCATGGACTGGAGTTCTGTAGTGGCTGGAAGGGGAGTTGGGCATGGATTTGTTCTGATTGCAGGCCAATGACAGACGTCAACATCTGTCTGGTCCTCCAGGAGTTTTATCATCTGCTCTGAATATTGGTACCCTTTTCCATAAGCTACGGTAATCGAACCCAACATCTCACTTCTAAAGGTAACGCAGGATGCAAGGGAACATCTCCTGCATGCATGTGGCTTCAGACCAGCTCCATATGCTGCTTGCCCGTGTGCCGCTCTGGTCCCTGCAGAAATAATTGCCAGGTGATGCAGCAACAAACCAGGCAACTCTCCCAAGGAACCTTCGGCAGAGGATTGCAGAATACCTACAGAAAAGTTTCCTAGAGATTGTTATGGAGGATTCCAGAGACATCCCCGTGTACATTAACAAACTTTTCTGCTGTGGCCCCACTGCGTAGATGGACAGGCTCTGTTGTTAATTTCTGTCCCTTATCCCTCCTCTACCATATAATAAAGTGCATGAGAACTCAATCTCCTCTTACCGTGTAGTATCAAAGCAAAACGAGCACTTACCGGAGCTGGAGTGCTGGGACTGGCTAGACCCCTCAGGAGTGGCAATGAGGTCCTGACTCGTCGCATCACCAGATGACCCAGCCATGTACTCCACATCGTCATCCAGCTCCACAGCCTCTCCAGCACTTCCTCATTGGGGTTGAGTCCGGTGGCCGCTGCCTCCAGTCCCCCAGAAGTATCGATGGGGCTCTTGGTGATGGAGTTGGGGTTGCCGCCGAGGATGGCATGCAACTCCTTATAGAAGCGGCATGTTTTTGGCACCACACCAAAGCAACGGTTGGCCTCCTTTGCCTTCTGATATGCTTGCCTCAGCCTCTTGATTTTAGCATAACACTGCTGCATGTCCCTTCCATGCCTCTTCTTCTGCATGCCACTAGCAATCAGCTCGTAGGTATCAAAATTCCAACGGCTGGTGCGAAGGTGCAACTGCAGAGCCTCCTCTCCCCATACATTTAGCAGATCCAACAGCTCCGGTGTGCTCCACGCAGGAGTGTGTCTGCTGCGTAAAGCTGGCGTGATCAGCTGGGAACAGGCTGCGTGAACTGTGCATGCTGAGCAAACAGGAAGAGGAATTTCAAAAATTCCTGGGCTTTAAAAGGGGAGAGGGGTGCATACCTGTGTACCTTCAGGGCAGCAGAGTTGTCATGATAAGCATCATGGGACACCTGCTGGAAGCCAATTAGGGCAACATAACCAAGTGAGGTGTCTACACTGACGCTATGTCACTCTAACTATGTCACAAAAGGCTCTATGCCACTTGTGGAGGTGGTTTTATTATGTCAGTATAGCAGGGGAGTTGTATCGAACGGAGGAGCACTTCAGTATGTACACCTCCAGTCTTTTGTCGACAAAAG